GGGAGGGGCTGTACAGGCAGAAGCCAAGGTGAGGGGGAGACTGACTGATGCTGACCTGCCCGCCTGGTGGGAGGAAGGGGCCCGGAGCCAACGCTAGCAGGCAGCCCATGGAAGCTAGAAAAGGCAAGGCAGAAGGTCCTCCCCTAGAAACCTCTGGAAGGAACCAGCCTTGCAGGTGCATTGATTCTAGAACTTCTGGCCCCCGAGCTGTGTGAAAATATTCATGGTTTCTTAAGCCTGTCATTTTATAGTAATTTGTTACCGCAGCCAGAGGGAGCAAAGAGACGCCGAAATGCCATCCCGTCTTCCTTCTTCCTCCTCACCCTCCTCTTCCCGCCAGCTGCAGCGCTTCTCTGTGCCTTCCGTCTGAAGGGATAGACCTCCTTCTTCGACCATAATGATTACATTCAGGTAAGACAAAAATCACACTGTATCATGCTTCCTCAGCCTATACATGAACACTTGTGTAAGTACTTGGTTTATTCAGCTTTTCCATATTTATGTGGGCTTCACAACTTGATTACAGCCTCTTTGAAGACAGAAACTCTGAATTTAATTTTACCTTGCTGGTTCCCCTAGAAGCATACCCAAGACCTTAATAGGCGTGATCCATCAATTGCTCTTCTCGCCCCTCAATCACACCCTCGGCCAGCTGATACATGAAGAGTGCCTTTTGACATGGTAAGAATATAATCTTTGCATCCCAGGTTTTAACCCCAAGAATTTGAGCCAATATGCCTAATGACACGTATTTCACTGGATACAGGATTACCTTTCTCTCCTCTAAACAAGGAATCAACATCACTAGGATTTTACAAAATACTCCGAGCTCTGACTATTTGCATTTCTTCTTTCCACTGTTTCAGTGACTCTTCTATGCTATCAATTAATTCTTCATTTTTCCAATAAATCCCTTCCCTCTTTCTTTCTTTAAATAAGAATTTAAGCATATTGGATTTCTTTTTGTTTTAAAAACTCGAGTCCTGCCAAACCCACAGAAAAGCAAAATATAATTAAATTTCACAATATCTTAAAATGAGCATCAAACAAAAGATTGCATTGAAATTCCCCATTTCATTTGTAGCTGCATATTAGCAAGCGCATTAAGGGTCCTTAAAGGCAGTTTTGCTTTTAAAGGCAGGTGTTGGACAAAGAACTTCCTGCAGATTAAGGACCGCAACACCAGAACCACCATCCGTTTAAAATAATTCAATTAAGTGGAAGTCACCCTATAAATAAACATATTGAAACGTCCAATGGAAAACCAGAGTAATGATTAATAGAGTGTTTCCATATCAAAATTAACCCAGTTTTTAACATCTGCATTATTAGAGTGTGGGCATGTCCGTGGCTCACCATGCTCATTTTTGCTTTACAAACACATATTAAACGTACATTCCATTATGCAAACTTTTACACGTGTGCATAATCTTTGCAGTAATTTAATTTATTTAGGGGAACCATAAAAAACTTATATCCTACTGATTTAAAAAATGTGTATCCCCATCTCTACGTTGTATGTATTCATTTACTGGGGTATAAATGTTGTTCGCTGTTACGGGTTTTACAGGCCCTAAGAGCCCCAACCTGCCTAGGACCCCTAGGGACAAAGTAAAGCCCCATGACCCCCTGAGACTTGAGGCTTTCGTTTAATGCGATCCCCCTTTTGATTGTTGTTTTCAGGGAAACAAACGCAGCTTGTACTTGTGTCTTGGATGAGTTGATGCTGCTGTCCCAGTGCAGCCCGACATCTCTTTCCTGCCTCTCACCCCGGTCAGCATGATCGTCTCCGACTCCTCGCTGGCCTTCAATAAGGACAGTATGTGTTGTGTAGCAGCTGCAAAAGACTTCACAAACGCTGGCTGACGAGAAGTGACAGCCCTGTATATCTCTCACCGGCATTGACAGCTGACAGATGGATACCACTCACACACAGAAAAAGAGCCCCCGGGACGATTCCCCAGCATTCTGTCTGTTCGTAGGGCCACATTTGATGGAGTGCCGCTCAGAATAATAAACCCTCACCGATCCACCGCTGAGCTCTCCTTGAGTGCACAATGCCCTGGGTTTTTGTTGCTTTTTTTCCCTCTAAAACATGAACAAACCTATACATCGAAGCTCTGTTTTGTGCATTACTTTCTTTCCATCTTGGTTTTGAAAAACAATAAAGAAAAAAAAGAGAGAAGGGAGGGAAAGAGAAAACAGAAGAACCCCCAACATTTGTGACTTTCAGATGGGGGAGTGATCCGTGTATAATGGCACAGAACCCTGGCTGGGCTGGGTCTTTAATAATTCCTTCATCTCTCCAATCTGTTTGTTATTATCCTTTGGATTGTTTTTATTTCCCTCCATAAATCAGCCCATCCTTAAAAGCATCGCTGCTTGGTTAGCTGGGAAACAGTGACATAAAACTGGACAGGAGGGAGGCATGGGGATACACAGGGTGGAGGAAAGGAGAGAGGTGGGAAGGAAAAATAGAAAGCACCCCCTTAGCCCCCTGGGTCTATGGACAATAAGGGGAGAGGAAGAATGGAGGTGAGAATGGGAAAGCCCTCCAGCCTTTTGTTCATGGATTTGAAGACTGTCTCTGCAGCTTTTGCCATGACCCTTGTGTTGCCTGAGTCTCCCAGTCAAGTGCACCAGGACCCAGCTGTGTCCGGGAGGTGTCCAGTTGCCAGAGTAGAGTGGCAATAGAAGGTGCATCTTCCACAAGGGGTGGGGGCGGGATCTGAAAACCAACAGCCCCAAGATAAGAAAAAGGGAGACTCACATCAACACAGCCTCCAAAGCAGTTTGTGATGTACACATGAGCTCTTAGCATGTAGCAGGGGAGAGGGCTGGTTTGCATTTGCATTCTCTCATGAGTTAAATTGGAATGTCTTAGGGTGTTCAGGTCATTTGATCCTTCTGTCCAACTGTTTTATAGACACCCATGGCAAGTCAGCAGATGACGCATCCTGATGATTTTTCCGCCTCCTCTTCTGACCTGGTCTCTAGTTTATGGTCCCCACCTGACAGCACATGGCGCCTCTTCCTCCATCTCAAGACTGTAATTTTTGGCAATGTGGAGGCTCTGAGAGGGAAGTAACTGGGTGCTGAGTTCTTCCTACTCTGCTGGTTCCCATGGTTGCCATAGAAACCATAGGCTGGGCTCCCACCGGGCACTCCATCTCATCCTGGTACCTAGGGGAGTGGCACATGTGTATATATGGACTGCCACTTTCATGCTCTGCTAGATGAGGAGGGCAGAGGGGTCCATTCCCCTGGCCTGGAGGTCATCAGCTGCCAGTCCACTCCAGAGCTTCTGACCGTGGGCAGTCATTACTTAGATGAAGGAGACATATCAGGCTAGGATTTTTAAGCAACCCCAATGTGGGTAGAAAATCTTGTTCGGTTAACACATCCTGGAGGAGAGTGTTCTCCTGAAATCGTCTCTCTTGTAAGCACAGTGGGTTCCAGTGTCCCTGAAACGGTAAATGTGTGTACAGTGGCAGGCTGATTGTCAGCCAGGAGCGAGATGCACACGGAGGTAAGGAGTCCTAACCAAGAGACTGCCTTACTGCTCCTGGTTCTCAGAAAGAACAAAGCCCCTTGGTGGCCGGCAATGATCAGGGTGACCACGGCAAATATGAATGAATGAACAGTTTTCTCGACCTTGAAAATCAGTCCGGTGCTATTTATGTCTGAATGAGCCACTCTGAGGTCACAGGTCCAGGTTCGCAAATGGTCCCCAGTGATGCTACTCACTTTCACAGCATGGGCTCTGTTGCCCTTTTCTTAAATATTATGGGGTACAGTGTCACTGCACAAACTAACCCAGAGTGTGGTTTCAATATCCATGTCTATCAGCAGTCAAGGGTTCCTACCACGATGCCCGTCCTTCCAGAAAGGCCTTTTGATGAAGGACCTGTAAACGCTTTACAAAACCTCAGCTAATGAAGTTTTGCATCCCCCACAAGGCAAACAGCACATATCACTTCTGCCATGCATTGTGATCTTCAAAGCGGTGGACACAGTGCTAACGTATTCAAATCACCTAATTTGTCTCTCGTAACTTCATAAAAAATTCCTTAATGGAAATTTCCCAAGTGGACCTTGGCGAGAGGAAGTTTCCAGTGAGAGGAAATAAAGAAAGAAAGAAAGGATCACTTTCACTTTATGGTTTCTGTTCCTTTTAATTAAATAAAAGCAGCAGAGTGTGCAAAACTGGATTTGTGCCATATTACTCAACCTGAAGGGAGCATGATGTCAAGTCGCAAAAATCTAAAACTATGGAGAGTGTACCATTTAGGAATTAGAAATGTTTTCTCTCCATGGGAAGTTTCCTTGGAAACTTTTGAAGACCTTTTGAGTCTGCTCACACAATATACAAAATCTGTAGGTGTGGACTCCAGCTTTAATGGGGGTGGGGCGTCATCTGAGTCTTGACCCGGGTCTGGTCCACTCTGCTCCTGCTGCTCATTCTAGGAGGGGGCAAAGATCGTAAGGGTCTGCATCTGACATAATGGGAGCAAACATCCACGGAGCCTTCCCAGCGCCCCGGGCATATTGCAGGGGCCCTGGTGGGTGTGGCTCTGAGCCACCCACCAGCCCCACGAGGGGAGCACTACCGCCATCCCCAGCTTGCAATCAGAGGAGCTAGGACAGTTTCTCCTGGTCACATAGTAGGTCCTGGAGCTGGCTGCTCCCCAACAGACGGCTCTCATCACCATCCCTTACTGAATCCTTACCATGAGGTTTTCCAAGCAAAACTGATTTGAAACGTTTTTAATTGTGCTGATAATTAAGTTTTATGTTATTTGTATTAATTAATCACTAATATTCTACGTTCTTCCTCCCTTCAATAATGATAAGACTGAATGAAAGTTGGCTAAAAATGGAAAGAAATGGTAATTGTGAGAGTCCCAGGAAGGAATGATGAGGAAGCAGAAAGGAAGGAAGAAAAGAGGATACATGGTTCTCATTTTAGCGGCCTGGAGGGAGAAGCAGGAAACTTGGGGTCAGGGGTCAGAGGGCGTGGCCACTCCCCGGACGACCTCGTCTTCCTGAGAGACCAGCTGTGGGGCCACCCCGACGGGACCTAGACCTTGTTCTTGACACTGGCCTTGTCCTGTCCTGCCTCCCATGGTGTGAAAACCGCCCAGCTCTGGCTGCTCATTGCAGCTGTGAAGTGCCGGCCATGAGGTCCAATTGGAAGTGACCTTGGGATAGACGCAGTATAACAAGCTTGACAGAACGTTGCACAGCACACTGAAGGAAGAGCCCGTGTCTTCTCGGGTGGGGAGGCTACTCAATGTGACCACCTCCACCCCCCACTCCAGGGGTGGTCTCACTGGCCCAGCCTCACGGCGAAGGGCCAGGCCTCGTCCTGCTAGGAGCAAGTCTTGAAGACACTCTCTCAGGAGCCAGCTAAGCTCATTCCTCGGTGGCCCTAATGAAACAGATGGTTACACGCCGTGCAAGGAGCACCCCGAGGCATTACCGGTTTTGTGTGCTCAACTTCACAGGCCTCTGTGCCTGTGAGTGCAGGCGGTGGGGGTAGTATTCACCCCCATTCATCACACACCATTCCCCCACTTTTCCCCTGATAAATCATCAAAGTAAGAATCCCAGAATTGTAAACTTGTTACAGGCCCACTCTACTGTTTGGAATAAAGTTCGGCCATTAAGAGGGGAGTGGTTGAGTTCATCTGAGCTCCTCCCTCACCCTCCTGAATTCCAGTCTGCTTTCCTTCTTTCCTGTCCATTGTCCAAGTGCAGTAGACAGCTCCCTGGGCGCCTAAGATAACCGCACCCCCACTTCCCGCCTTCTGGCTGCCTCTTCCTGGGAAGGCCCAGCCGTCAGTCCACCAGTATGTGGACCCGTGGGTCACCCAGCATCCTTCTCTGCTGGACCACAGGCTCCTGCGATCTCGGTGGGGGGGGGCGGGGAACCAGAGCAGAGGTGTTATCACAGGCCTGGGGATGCTGAAGCCGATAAGACTCTGAGCTGCCTGCTGCTTCCAGGAAGTGGCTTGATCACTGACCTGATCACTGGGTAGTGGCATACTCCAAGGTCTCTGGAATGCAAGGTGCTCCTGGGCGATGACTGAGTTTCTTTGCAACCACAGTTTGAGGCTTTTCATTTTAATTAAGGAAGACAAGGGCATGGTAAAATGAAGGTGTAATGTATGTACATACATGGGTGCTCAGTTCAGTTCAGTTCAGTTCAGTCACTCAGTCATGTCCAACTCTTTGCAACCCCATGAACCGTAGCACGCCAGGTTTCCCTGTCCAACACTAACTCCCAGAGTTTACCCAAACTCATGTCCACTGAGCCGGTGATGCCATCCAACCATCTCATCCTCTGTTGTCCCCTTCTCCTTCTGCCTTCAATCTTTCCCAACATCAGGGTCTTTTCCAATGAGTCAGCCCTTCATATCAGGTGGCCAAAGTATTGGAGTCTCAGCTTCAGCATCAGTCCTTCCAATGAATACCCAGGACTGATCTCCTTTAGGATGGACTGCTTGGACCTACTTGCAGTCCAAGAGACTCAAAAATCTTCTCCAGCACCACAGTTCAAAAGCATCAATTCTTCTGCATTCAGCTTTCTTTATAGTCCAACTCTCACACCCATACATGACCACTGGAAAAACCATAGCCTTGACTAGACGGACCTTTGTTGACAAAGTAATGTCTCTGCTGTTTAATATGCTGTCTAGGTTGGTCATAACTTTTCTTCCAAGGAATAAGTGTCTTTTAATTTCATGGCTGCAATCACCATCTGCACTGATTTTGGAGCCCCAGAAAATAAAGTCAGCCACTGTTTCCACTGTTTCCCCCATCTATTTGCCATGAAGTGATGGGACCGGATGCCATGATCTTAGTTTTCTGAGTGTTGAGCTTTAAGCCAACTTTTTCACTCTCCTCTTTCACTTTCATCGAGAGGCTCTTTCATTCTTCTTCACTTTCTGCCATAAGGGTGGTGTCATCTGCGTATCTGAAGTTATTGATATTTCTCCTGACAATCTTGATTCCAGCTTGTGCTTCTTCCAGCCCAGCATTTCTCATGATATACTCTGCATACAAGTTAAATAAGCAGGGTAACAATATACAGCCTTGACATACTCCTTTTCCTATTTGGAACCAGTGTGTTGTTCCATGTTCGGTTCTAACTGTTGCTTCCTGACCTGCATACAGGTTTCTCAAGAGGCAGGTCAGGTGGTCTGGTATTCCCATCTCTTTCAGAATTTCCAGTTTATTGTGATCCATACAGTCAAAGGCTTTGGCATAGTCAATAAAGCAGAAATAGATGTTTTTCTGGAACTCTCTTGCTTTTTCGATGATCCAGCAGATGTTGGCAATTTGATCTCTGGTTCCTCTGTCTTTTCTAAAACCAGCTTGAAAATCTGGAAGTTCGTGGTTCACGTATTGCTGAAGCCCGGCTTGGAGAATTTTGAGCATTACCTTACTAGTGTGTGAGATGAGTGCAATTATGTAGTAGTTTGAGCATTCTTTGGCATTACCGTTCTTTGGGATTAGAATGAAAAATGGCCTTTTCCAGTCCTGTGGCCACTGCCTAGTTTTCCAAATTCACTGGCATATTGAGTGTAGCACTTTCACAGCATCATCCTTTAGGATTTGAAATAGCTCAACTGGAATTCCATCACCTCCACGAGCTTTCTTCATAGTGATTCTTCCTAAGGCCCACTTGACTTCACATTCCAGGAGGTCTGGTTCTAGGTGAGTGATCATACCATTGTGATTATCTGGGTGGTGAAGATCTTCTGTGTATTCTTGCCACCTACTCTTAATATCTTCTGCTTCTGTTAGGTCCATACCATTTCAGTCCTTTATTGTGCCCATCTTTGCATGAAATGTTCCCTTGGTATCTCTAATTTTCTTGACGATAGCACTAGTCTTTTCCATTCTATTGTTTTACTCTATTTCTTTTCACTGATCACTGAGGAAGGCTTTCTAATCTTTCCTTGCTATTCTTTGGAACTCTACATTCAAATGGACATATCTTTCCTTTTCTTCTTTGCCTTTCACTTCTCTTCTTTTCACAGCTATTTGTAAGGCCTCCTCAGACAACCATTTTGCCTTTTTGAATTTCTTTTTCTTGGGGATGGCCTTGATCACTGTCTCCTGTACAATGTCACAAACCTCCATCCATAGTTCATCAGGCTCTCTATCAGATCTAGTCCCTTAAATCTATTTCTCACTTCCACTGTATAATCATAAGGGATTTGATTTAGGTCATACCTGAATGGCCTAGTGGGTTCCCACACTTTCTTCAATTTCAGTCTGAATTTGGCAAGGAGTTCACAATCTGAGACACAGTCAGCTCCCGGTCTTGTTTTTGCTGACTGTATAGAGCTTCTCCATCTTTGGCTGCAAAGAATATAACCAATCTGATTTCGGTGTTGACCATCTGGTGATGTCTATGTGTAGAGTCTTCTCTTGTGTTGTTGGAAGATGGTGTTTGCTATGACCAGTGCATTCTCTTGGCAAAACTCTATTAGCCTTTGCACTGCTTCATTCTGTACTCCAAGGCCAAATTTGCAGGTGTTTCTTGACTTCCTACTTTTGCGTTCCAGTCCCCTATAATGAAAAGGACATCTTTTTTGGGTGTTAGTTCTCAGTTGTGTCCAACTCTTTGTGATCCCATGGACTGTAGCCTGCCAAGTTTCTCTGACTATAGAAGGCAAGAATACTGGAGTGGGCTGTCATTTCCTCCTCTAGGGGATCTTCCTGACCCAGGGATCAAACTCACATTTCCTGCGGTTTCTGAGTTGGCAGGGAGATTATTTAACACTGAGCCACCTGGGAAGCCCATCAAGTATATATATAAATAAGCATATTTGTGCATTTAGAATATTTATACATTTCAAACCCTACCAAGTGGGGAATTGTGACCCAAAACTGATGCTTCATTTGTGTAAATTTGCTTTCTGTTTGTCATGGATTCTTAGACACAAAGCAGATTCCAAGAGGAAGAGAGAACTTGGAGGAGAACCCAGCAGGAAGTGAACTCCATTTTCTACTGTTGTCCTTGTTTCTGTGGACAGAGCTTCAGCAAAACGCAGGAAGTGGCTTCAGATACCTCGGCCATTTCCCGCTAGCCTCCCATTCTGTTTAGTGGTCTCAATCAATAGGTTCAGTGGCGGGAGAATTTCATCAAAAAGGTGTCAAGAAAGTTTCAAGGGATAGTTGTGTGTTTAGCAGTCCCCTTGAATGGAACTTAATGTTATTCATTACAGAGCAGAGATAATCTTCCGATCCTCACCTCACATGTTTGTTGTAAGGATTAAGTGAACTAAAAGCAGATTCTCTGTGCAAAAGGAAATGGTAAGGCACTGTGCAAATGTTTGTATATAGGCTATTCAAGTAAATAAGAACACACTGTTATGTTTGTACATAGGATATTCAAGTAAATAAGAAGACACTATTATGTGTGTATATAGAATATTCAAGTAAATAAGAAGACACTGTTTTTTAAAGAAACCAACCAATTCTTTTCTATCAGCACTCTATCAGCCAAAGGATTGCAGATAATCATGGATTAATTGCAAACACGAAGAAGGAGACAGAAGAAAACCATATCAGAGCTGTTGCTTCGGGGCAGACTCCAGTGCATGAAAGCTGAAATGTTTTCTGTTATCAGAGATCCTTTTCTGGCACCTGAAATTATTTCTTTCATGTCTGATGCTGAAGAACGAGGCAGCACTGCTCCCTGGAGATGAGCGATTGTTACCATGGTCTCATAACATATTGGCAGCCGATGCGGCGTCCATGTACACCTGTCACTCAAGGCTGCGATGTGCAGATGTGGCCGGCAAGCTCAGGCTCAGACCTGGGGCCCTCTCTGCCGCCACCCACACCTGGCGTTCTGCACACACAGGGGTGTGCTCCAGCGCCCCGCCCGCCGCCTGGCATGGCTGCGAAGGCCGCACACGGTGGTCACGGGTCTGCATGTCAGTCCTGGCAGACGTGCCGGGCAGAGGGCAGACGTGTGGCTGATAGACAACTCTGCTGCACAGGTTCCCAGAACACCTGCAGTCCCAGCCCAGTAAGTTCCTTCCAGCCAGGGTCAACTGTCTCCTCTTAGGCACAAGACTGAGGAGTGGTTTATAAATTGGGGGGGACATTTTCCTAGTTTTTTGATTACACAGTAAAGACCTCAGCATGTAGCTACTTAAAAGCTAGCAAAGAAGAACCAACGCTTCCTGTTATTTCAAAAACAAGTTCCCTGGTGGATGTGGTGATGAACTTCTGCGAAGGCTTGGCTCCAGAGCAGAGACCAGGAGTGAGCAGGTGGTGATGCCCCTGGGGCGAGTGCTGCCCCGTGGTCTGACTTCACTCCACGCTTCAGTGTGGGCCAGGCTCCCCCGAGCCTGAAAATGAACTTGAGCCTCTCTTGCTATTGTTATCATTCAGATAGCCAAAATAACCATATTTTCAACCTAAAATCTGTTCACACTGAATTTTCCTGTGAGTTCATGCCACCAAATTTATGCCCAAACCCCTGCTTAAAATGTCGGTTTTGATCCTATTTAAAAGACCATAGTGACTTCAGATTCTTCCTTCTTTTCCCTCCATCCAGGCCCCAGGGAATCAAGGTTTAGGTTATCTGTTTCCATGGTGGGAAAATCCAGAAAGACAGAATCTGTAGGCTTATATTTACCTTTTGCCACTAAAGTTAAGAGCTCTGTAAACTATCTTCCTAGAGGCTTAAATTTAAGTACCCCCTCTTTTCCTATAGGCAGCACTCAAAATATACTAAAAGTATACCTAATTAGAATTCACATAGAATAATTTTCAGTGTATGAGGAACACTATACATAAAAATATAGGTTGAATGAATGTGTGTGTGTGTGTGTGTGAAAAAAAAGAAAAGAAAACTACGTAGATTCTAGTAGGAGAAAGCAGAGAGGGAGAGAGAAGCAGGGAGGGAAGAACTTGCCATTTCTCCAGTAATTGGCTGTTTCAGGCCTTCTGGGAGTTCCTAATCTCATTTAAACTTCATAGTGACCTTGGGAAGTTCGGTGTCAGTATCCCTCATCTATAGATGAGAAGACTACTAATCAGTCCAGATCGAATAGTTGTGAATGGTAGAGCTGGTGTATGAAACCAAGGCCCCTAACCCACACTTGCAATGCATTTCATTCTACCTGGTGAATATAGGTCTAGTTTACTCAGAGAAAATGAAGTTTGAAAAGCACCAGAAAGGGGGGAATATATTTACAGGTATTGCCGATTCGCTTTGCTTTACAGCAGAAACTAACACAATATGGTCAAGCAATAAATAAATATATTTCTTTTTAATCACACAAAAAACCACCAAACACTTCCTGCTCACGTGGGTTGTGGCAAATAATGATAACCCGAATAGTGATTCCCATTTTCCTTCCTTCATCTCTGGGCAACACTCCTTTCATCTTGGGAAGGAAAAGGCCCAGCTCTGTGAACCACATGCTATCAGCCGGGGTGAGGAGGGGGTGGCCAGCCTGGACCTTGTCACCTTGATCCTACCAGCCTGGTCCACTGGAGAACTTATCCATCCCTGTCACTCACCCCAGTCCACCCCTGAAGAATGAGCTTCAGGAATCGAGGGGCCGGGTAAAGTGGCTGCTGGGGCAGTCCTGACCCAGGAGACCCTGCTGGCCTGGACTTCCCCCTGGAACTCTGAGCTGCAGCTCAGTGCGGGCCTGGAAGAGGAGGGGCAGAAGATGAGTGATCCTGTCCGTCACCCGCAATAAGAGGCAGCATCACCCAGTCCCGGTCCCATTGCTTGACTTCTTATTCATTCTGTTCTCTCTACACATCCGAGCCTTTGCTTTTCCCTGGTGCAGTCCACGGTGAATACAGATTTGAATTTGCTCCAAGCAGACGTGAGCATTTGCCCTGTAATCTGAGGGGTTACTCATACTCTTCTATCCGGCTGATTAAAAAAATACAAACCTGGGACAAGAGTAGCCGGTGCTCCTGGAAGTTCTGTCCAGTTGTCAGACATCACGGTGACTCCCTGCCTTCCCCGCGGAAGCAGCGGGCACCCGAGGGCTGGGCTTGCATATGTAAGGACGGAGCTGTGTTTGCAGCTGCTGGTTGGGGGACGCTGGCTGGAAGCCGAGTTCCCAGTCACTGCAAGATGCCAACGGAGGCCAAGATGGAATTCAAGGCCCCCGTGATAGAAGAATGTGGAAGTTTTCAGGGAGCCAATCATCAAGCTTATTTCTTGGGTTGATCTCAAAATAGCAATTTTTTTTTTCTAATGTGGGAAATATCAGAATGAGTTCAAGTCTCTTCACCTCAAATTCGTAAAGGCATCACTTTATGGAATTATTTGTCCATTTTTATACACTGATTTAAGGGACCAGTAATGTGATTCATCACGTCATCTTGTAAATAAATGTGACACTTCATTAAACAAGGTAATCAAATTTAAGCCGTTCTCTTCTTGTGTTAACCACCGAGACCTTTGCATCTCCATTGCTCTGGAGACTCTCCTACCATAATGAACACAAATTCCAGGAAACACGCACCCGTGTCTCCTTACCAGGTGGGGGAGGGTGCTCTTGCAAACAACCAATAATGACATTAATAACAACCAGCAATTTGCTGTAATGAAGCATTTTAATATCGGGTCGGGGGGAGTTTGAAGGGGAGGAGGGCACATTGCTTAGATTCATTAAAGCTGGAATGTTGGAACATCTTGGAGGATCTGTTAGCGGGCTAACAGAACACTTTAAAAGAGTGCATTTCGGGAGGAAATTTTTCAGGCTATTTTTGTATTTGCCATCTGGAATGACACTGCAAGCTGGCAAATGCAAGAATAATGTACGATATTTCCATCACAGAGAGTTAGTTACGGATTCAGCTGGGAATGCGAGAGCGTCTGAACACCAGTCGGATAACTGTAATTACCCCAACTTTGACCTTCTTGGACGGTTCAGACAGCTTCAGTGCTCTTAATGTTTGTTTCCCTGTGGAAGCAGGCAACGTCTAATGACTGAAATGAACAGAGGCGGTACCTGCCCTGTGCAAACTGCCACCAGGAGCGGGGTGGGGGCAGGGAGGACACGCTTTCAAGTGACGGTGGCAGGACTGAGGACTGACCTCCCCAGCCCCCAGTTTCAGGGAAGTTGGCTGACACCCTGGGCCTCCAAGCGGCAGGCTCACACCTCCCTTGGGTGTATCGAGTTCTCACGCCTGTTGATGAGCAGGTTATTTTCAACTGATGAGTGTTTAGTATAGTCTCAGAAATAAATATCCAAAATACACGGGCTGAAACATTTCACAGATCATCCAACATAAGAGTAGTCACCTCTCCATCTTGACTGACAACATTTTCCAACCATAAAAGCATTCGCTTTGCTGTGAATTTACATTGCCGATGCTTGTGAAATAGAAAGGACTTTCTGCAGAACAGGAAAGATCTAATTATAATGGCTTCTTCAACCACTAACTCCAAAGTTTTAACAGCAATACAATTTTTGAAAATTTCAAGAGTTGATTTTTAATAGCTTAGAAACTTTGTCATCAAGATATTAAAAATTGGGCCAAAAAATTTCTTTCTTTGTGGCCCTAAAATAAGTGGCCTTGTATCTGGCCTTTAAAATAAGAATCAAAGTGTTTTTTTGACAGGCAAGAAATAAAACACGTTAGAAGTTTCTTAGAAAATAAGTGTTGATGTCAGTCTGCTGGACCAGGGTGCTGGCACTGTGACTAACTATCCCAGTGGGAGAGTGACCACACCCTTTTCATCAGGGCTCTAGGTCAACGCCTATAATATTTTGGGGGTACACCTGGACCTTTCTGCTTTAATATTTGTTAAAGCAAAATGAGCAAAGACACATACGTGAAAACAAAGCACAAAGATAGTGATTCTGTAAATGAAACAAGTGTCCAAGTGAGAATAATATAAAATACAGCCAGAATGGAACAATATCCAATTTTATAAAAGCTTAAAAACTATACCACAATAGCACATGACACGCACAATGCTGTGGCGTACTCTGCACACAACACAAGGCAATAGTGTGCTATTGTGTGGGGTGTCAGCATCTGCTCACCTACCGAAGGCTGTCCTGTGGCTTCTAAGTTCTGGCCCGGTAGAATTTTTCTTTGGGGGAAGTACAAATGCCAGTTTTAAAGTAGAAGCGTATGTAGTTGAATACAGCACAGAGAAAGCTGATCAGTATCCTGTAGTAGCCTGAATGGGAAAAAACTTGGCAAAGAATAGACACGTGTATCTGCATAACTGGATGTGCATGACCGATCACTTTGCTGCACACGGGAAGCTAGCACAAACACTGTAAATCAGCTGTGCGCGCGTGCTGAGTCCCTCAGCTGTGTCCAACTCTTAGAGACCCCAGGGACTGTGACCCATCAGGCTCCTCCGTCCATGGGATTCTCTAGGCAAGAATACTGGTGTGGGTTGCCATTTCCTTCTCCAGGGCATTTTCTAGACCCAGGGACTTAACCCATGTCTCTTATGTCTCATGCATTGGCAGGTGGGTTTTTTTTACCACCAGGGAAGCCCCAAATCAACTATACTCCAATACAAAATCAACTATACTCCAATATAAAATTAAGTTGAAAACAATTTTCTTTAAAGGGAGCTGTTTTTCCAGTTTCTAATGCAATCTGCTGCATGTTGTATGAAGGCTTTGAAAATCTAGATCCACAGGAAACCACAGCTGCTGGGGCCCCTGCTCCCTGGGCATCCTGTAAAACCATCATGAAAGGAAATTAGGTTATTCCTTTTCCATAGTATCCTGGGGTTTGGCAGTGTGGACCAGGGTTTCCTTTACACAAGGGCTTTTACCAACAATATTTAGTGGGACTCCATGGAAATTTATTTGCCCTGATGATCTGATCATTACACTAACACATTTCTAATAATTAATGTTCCTTATATTCTTTGACTAAATCCTACTTGGTTAAAATGATTATTATAAAAAACAAAATGTAAAATTTTAACTTTCAAAGTTTCAAAGAGACTTCCTGAATCTACATTTATATATATGTGTGTGTGTATATATATATATGGGAGATGATTTTTAACTCTTTTATTTTTGCAGAATTTTCAACTGGTTTTAATACATTATATGCTAAATTTAGAATATATATTAAGTGCATGGTTTGTTTATGCTATTTTTAGTTCATATCTTGCAAATTAATATTTGTTCTTTCTAACATTGTTAAAACTTTACTGAAATGGCCTGATGTATCTTGAATCCTTTGTAGTCATTGTGTTACTTTTGAGATATTCCATGATTTAAAATGTTTTTATTCTTATTTCACACTTGGTTAATAGTTTAACGAATAGAATTTTCAATTCTTCTCAGTAGAACTGAATTTTCAATATAGAATGCTTTGTGTTCATTGCACCCTGCTGTTGTTTCATGAAAAGAATAGGTTCTTTTACCTCCCCGAGGATATCAGTAATTTCTTTTTTAAAATTTTCTTCAATCTTAATCTCTTTTTCTTCTAATAATTTTAACCTTTTGTTTATTTTGGTCTTTGTTTTTTATTTTGAGCAATTTCTTTACATTTCTTCTCCTCCTCGGCTCATATTTAAGAGGAAAGAAGAGAAAGGACCCTTTATATAAGAGCTTTTACATTGTTAGGATGTACTGACATACACAACCAGGCCTCACTTCATTTCAGGTATGTCTCATCAGCTATGCCTTTGGTAGATATCCTCTTCCAATTATCTTCTTTTGTTTTTCGTCAAAAAATGATGATTTTAGGTTGGGCTTCTTATCACATCTCAGACTTTTCCATCTCTTAAAACTTTTGTTTTCTTTTCCTCTGTCTTCTCTTCTTGGACAACTTCTGTAAATTATTCTCTATATTAATAATTCAATTTCCTGGCTAGTATAAATTCTGACATTTACTGTTTCCTAAAGGAGAATTTTGGGTCCCTTGTAATTATCCCATCTTTACTTATCTCCTGTTTCCTCACACCCTGTTATGTTCAAGCTTCCAGCTTTGATGTTCCACTCCTATTTCATAACTATACCACTGAAAAGATACCAAAATTTTTCAAAAATTTAATCTTATTTTCTGTGCTGTGCTTAGTTACTTAGTCTCGTCTGACTCTTTGTGACCCCATGGACTATAGCCCTCCAGGCTCTTCTGTCCACGGGATTCTCCAGGCAGCAATACTGGAGTGGGTTGCCATGCCCTCCTCCAGGGAGGAGGAGGATCTTCCTGACCCAGGGATCGAATCTGGGTCTCCCACACTGTAGACAGGTTCTTTACCGTTTGAGTCATCAAAGAAGCCCATCTTATTTCCGGCTAGAAATCTACTTGTGCATTCTGCTCTTTCTTTTCCTAGTCAGGACACGCCATTTCTCATCTCTTGCAGATGTACTTTAAGACTTTATCACCAAAAAAAAGAAAAAAAAAAAAAGACTTTATCACCAATCAGAGGGGTGGGCTCTGCAGACCTGCTGTAAATTAGATTAGTGCTTGAATGTGGATTCTTGCTCTCAGCCTGGTCATCTGGTGACAGTGCCCACCCGGGACCCCCAGAGTCACTCATCGACTGTGTTCCTTAACCAAATTTCCCTGGAACGGAGCCAGTAGAAAAGTTTTCCAAGATTCAGTCTATAAATTGTCTAGAAGTCCTTATTTTTGTGGGACATTTGAGTCTCCATAGTCATTTAGTGAGGAGAAGGAATCAGCTGTGTTGGGAAATTTTAACAGACACTATATTTGGGTGAAAAGCTTGATAGGTCCTACCCAACCTGCCCTCCATCCACTTTTCAAACTTCCAGAAACCCACTGGTTTGTGGAATAGGCCACACTCTGCAACATTTCTCCATTTCTCAGGAAAACAGCCTGCTGTTCTTATTTTCCCATCCATTAAGCAAGGGCATGTTCATCTTCGGCACTTGACTGTATGTTCATTAAACCAGTGGCTGGCTCTGTTCCATGTCTTCTTGATGAAATGATGAGAAATGTGGTCCTGAACTGACTGAATATACATGATGCCATTGAGCCCTGATCCTTGGTGGCATTAGTACTGCTATTATTTATTATTTACATATTTAATGACCTTATTGATATTATGCACTGTTAGTGCTACTAATTATAACACAATAAATATAATTTATAAACATAGTTTATGGGGATCTACATAATCAACCGCTAGCAACAATGCCTGCCACAGCTGCAGACATTTCCCCCCGTAAGCACAGATGATCCTAAGAAAGAGGGCCAGTGACTCACAGAAAACCTTTTAAATAAGTATTTTAATGCATTGTAAACAGATTGCAAGTAACACATGTTATTTGCTCCAAAATTTATTTTTGAAGATTGCTTCAAAAATAAATCCAAATGATCATTTTATGAGAATGGCGTGCTTCTCTGTCTCTGAAACTTCACAAAGTGTTCACAAAGGTTCTCCTATATAACATCACGGGAAGATTTATTGTGTGGAGTGTCAATTTAAGAACTGTGAGGATTCCAGGATAATATTATGGCCAAAACATACAACTGCCATGGGATAAAGGAAGACATCTCTTGTCTCTGGGAAGAGAGGTGCTAGGTCATGAGAACATTTTTCTTGGATTCAGAGATAGAGAAAACGAGGAGTGGGTGAGAAACTAGGGAGTGGGTG